GAGTTATTTGCTTATTGGTAGATTTTGCTTGAGGACAAGCAAAAGTTCAAGTTTGGGGGTGTGTTAAGTGTATATTTTTACACTTTATCGTATCTTTTTATTTGAGCTTTTGGTGTGTTTTAATGATAATTGGTGCTTAAAAAGTTGATTTATTGTATTTTAGGTACAAATTGAAGAATTGGAAAAGTATGGGGTCAAAACTGCAATTTTGGAGAAAATATGGGCCAAAAGTGAAAAAAACCAAAATCTGGAGTTTTAAATCTCGGACGGCCGTCCGAGTTTTAGTTCAAATTATGGGACGGCCGTCCGAGACCCCGAAACAGCGCAGTAAAGGGATTTTAATTGCACAAGGAAACTGCCTTCTTCCCAAAGTTCTTCACCCTATATAATGTTGGAAAAACCGATAAACGGTGTTTTTCATTTAACATAATCAGAGTATTACAACTTAAATAGAAAACAACTAAACAAACTTATCCTAATTTAGGGGAACACTAACCCACTACGAACAACTAACTAAGTATCCTACAATCACGGGATACTATTTTGACTAATTATTTTACTAAACTAATATTAATCATTTAATTAACTAAACAATAAATCTAATATTTTAACACCCTCCCTTAAACTGATTTCTACGGAAAACAGTTTACAATGAGATTTATTGTTCAACTTCGATATATTCTTTTGCGAAAGAACATATATCAAATTCTCCACATTGAGAACCAATGCCTCAAACTTTCCAACTCGGTCGAACGTCAATTTTTCGAACGCCTCCGTCAATCTTCACCGATTGACACTCCATCAATTTTGGACGAACGCAACTTTTCGAACGCCTCTTTCTGCCAATCTTCATTGATTGACACTTCATCAATTTTGGACGAACAAACTTTTCGAAAGCCGCCCTCCGTCAATCTTTCATGATTGACAACATTATTTCTTTTGCAAAAAGAAATCTATTAGCTGCTGCTAATATCACCACTTCTATTTCGAAGAAGTATTCCAATCGTAATTCGCCGCCTCGAATCTTCTAATCTTCCCGCCGAGTTTGCCAAACGTGCTGTCCTTTGCCGAGTGTCGCCTCGTCTGTATCGGATTTGGCCTTGGCTGCCTCGACGGTGTCAAAAATGGGCTGATTCATCTTGCCCTCGCCAATGTCGTCAATCCTTCAAGTCTTTGGCATGGATCTCAACATCCACGACTCTATTCCACCTTATACGGCCTCGTAGTTGCCGAATCTAGGCTGCCTCTGCCCCATCGAAATTAAGAAGACCGCCTCACCTGGATAACCGAGTGTTCACTGCGGAAATCAAGGTTTGCAGGCAGCTGCTGCTTAACCCTAAGTCCTTCATTCACGTATGAAAGATTCAATAGCATCTCCTACAAACCTTCTGCTTTGTTCTTCATATGGGGCAACTTTTGCAAACCTCCTGCTTTGTTCTTCATATGGGGAAGCTTCTGCAAACCCTCTCTATTCACTCACAAAAATTGTGACTCTCTCGATTCTTCTCTTTTTGCTCTTTTTTTTTTTTTTTTTTTTTTTTTTTTTTTTTTTTTTTTTTTTAAATACACCTTTCACACACTAGAAAAGAGAAGTATCGAGACATCTCCTCCAACGAGAATATGTGAACCCTTTCACAATAAAAGAGCTGGATCACAGGTCAGGATCCAAGCTCTGATACCATGTTGGAAAAACCGATAAACGGTGTTTTTCATTTAACATAATCAGAGTATTACAACTTAAATAGAAAACAACTAAACAAACTTATCCTAATTTAGGGGAACACTAACCCACTACGAACAACTAACTAAGTATCCTACAATCACGGGATACTATTTTGACTAATTATTTTACTAAACTAATATTAATCATTTAATTAACTAAACAATAAATCTAATATTTTAACATATAAGACCAAACCAAGCACACAATTGAGAGGGCTTTTTACGCAATTTCAAGAGCAACAAAGCAATAACGAAGAATTCGAAGACTCTAAGCAACGATTTATCGTTTATGATTTATTTTATTTGTGTTTTTCCTTTAATCATGAGTAGCTAAATTTCTTATTTCTAGGATTTTGTTTGGAACCCTATGTGGGATTTATGAACCCTTTTCTATGATTTTATGCAAGTTTTAATTCCGGATTATTTCTTCTACTTGTTTTATTAAGTGCATGAACTTGATCAACTTATGTGCTTTTATGTTATTGTTAATCGCATGAATCGGAAGATCGGGTTAATAATTAGAACTGTGGTAGAAGAGCCTTTGTGGTATTAACATAGGAATATAGTTAATCTCTTAGGTAGCCATTATTGAGATTTATGCTTAATGTTGTGTTCTAGAATTAATTGCATAGGAATATAGTAATTGAATCTAGAGTATTAGAATCGTAATACACGCGGAAGCGGGTTATGATTATTTTAGCATCTCAGGTTAATAATCCGGGTTAATTGCTTGCATGACTGAAGGAATTGGGGGAACAATAATCACATAGGGGGAAGAATAAAATCCTAGGCTCGTTTTCTCTGATTAAATCTTTGTTTCAAACTGCTTTCTTGTTTTTGCTTGCTTTTTAATTTAGTTTAATTTAGTTAATTCTCTCTAAATTCGACTGTGTAGGGTGGGCTTGATAATAATTGCTAGGATTTAACGTCTAGGATTAGATAATTAAATATTCCCTGTGGGTTCGATATCCGGACTTTTAGTCCACTATATTACTTGTACGATACGTGCACTTGCGTGTAAGTTTTCGGCCAACAATATATAATATCTTTTCCACGATTCTCGCTTATTGATTGCAGAATTTTAATCATCGTAATTTTAATATATGTCTCTCTCTCTCTCTTAATAATTAAATGCTTCGAGAACCAACAACAACAATGGTTGCTCAGAATGTCTAACCTATTAAGCATTGGCCTTTCCAATGAAGCTATTCATTAATGGCTCTATACCTAGGATATTAGTGTGTCTGTACAAAGTAGGGCTGAGTTCCGAGAATCCATCGGCCAGTGGCGGCGGTGGAGAGAGGAAATCGGAGGGTTGAGTTCCGAGAATCCATCGGCCAGTGGCGGCGGTGGAGAGAGGAAACCGGAGGGTTGAGTTCCGAGAATCCAGGTCGGTGGCGGCGGTGGAGAGAGGAAACCGGTGGAAGCAAAATACAGAGTGGTTTTCACACAATGTCGGTTTTCACACATTACAGAGTGGTTTTCACACAATATCGGTTTTCAAAATACATAGTGGTTTTTCACAATGCCGGTTTTCAAAATTACTTTTAAGTTGTGGGTATAATTGTGCATTTACGTAACAAAATACAGTGGTTTTCAACAAAATACAGAGTGGTTTTCGTCTCAACAAAATATAGAGTCTAATTAAGCAGGAAGTTTGTCTCAACAAAATACAGAGTGGTTTTCGTGCTTTTCCGCAACCTGTATAAGTGCATAATAGTCATGGTTTTAACATTGTTCGAAATAATGTTAATATGAATGCACATGATTTTCTCCCCCATTGTTATGTGATTTTAGCATATAGTCGATCGATCTTTTAAAATTACAGAGTGGTTTTGATATATTGCCGGATTTCAAAGTTACATGTCCGTTTAAAAAGAGTGGTTTTCATGTTTAATAGAGTGGTTATTATTTAAAAAACTGGAAAGAAAATAAAAAAAAAAAAATTTAAAAAAAATTGAAATTAAGAAAAAAGAAAAACCATGTAAAAACGAAAGTAAAAATAAAAACCATTTTTTAAAATTAAAATAAAAAACACGAAAAATATAAATAAGAATAAAAAATAAATTAAAATAAAAAACCGAAAATAAAAAAATAAAATAAATACAAAATTTTCTTTTAAATTGAAATAAAGAAAACCATTAAACAAAATAAAAAAGAAAAGGAAAAAAAACTGAATTGGCGTGATGAGGGGAATAATTTTTTGAGAAGATTTGAGTGTAGATTATGGGTATAATTCTTTTTTAAATTAAATAATTATACTAACTAATAATTAGTGGGGGCATATATGTTTTTTCTGCCCCATTGGATTTATCTCAAATATCATTTATAAATAAAGGATTTATCAAGAATTAAAATCCCAATGAAGGGTGTTTGGCATATAGCCCCTTTTTCAATATGGTGGGCCAGCTCCAGAAGTTTTGCGGCGAATGATCTAATTTAGGGGTATTTTACGAGCCACACATGAGGATCATGTATAAGAGGGAATTAAGGATTTGGGGATAAAAGAGGAGGAGAGGAGGTGTCACTCCACCTCATGTTTAGACTGTGCCTAATGGATTGGGACTGTGTTCTAGCTCGATTTGACTGCCACATATGAAAATTCCGTTCAACTTAACTGAGAAACTTGACGGCCGAACCAAAAGTGTCAAAAATTGATAAGTTTGAAGACTAAATTCATGGAGGTGAAAGTATGAGGACCAAAATTATAGGTGACAAGTATAAATGATGAAAACTGTAATTAACCCATTCAATATAATTTCTCAAAATTAGTTAGTTAAAATGTTCACTCACCGTATTCAGATACAAACAAGCCAGCTGCTCTATCAAGCACTTCCAAAAACGACCGTTCAGGCACAATAGTTTGAGGCAATGAACATTTTTTTAGTTTCTTTTTTTTATTTCGATTAAAATCTCTCGTATTTGTTTCAATTTTTTTCTATGTACGACTCAAACTGTGGAGAACAAGAAGTTAGTTCGATTCCCGTGGCTGGGGTAGCCCAGACTACGGTCGTGGAGCCAGCGGGGCCGGCTGGAATAGCCTTTTCCCGCTCCACCTACTGATTATGTATCCACGATGAGTTGGGTGAAGAGAAAGACCACGACCATTGAAGGGGTAAACTGCGACTTTGAATTCACTATGAATTCGCCACCAATAAATGTTTATATGCTCGCCTTATTCGCTCGCCTTATTCGCTCGCCTTAGTTGACTCAAATTAAATTACTTGATTGACTGGGCTGATTTTTTTGGTTAGACGAGAGAGAGGGACAGAGAGACAAACGCCTGAAATATGTTGACTCAACTAATTTTCAAGGACAAATTCGACAAATTAATTGAAAAAAAATACATAAACTTACGCAGTAGCAACACCATAGCTACTGAATTTTCAGGTCCCAGTAGCTTCTTTTTTAGACTGTAAAAACAGTTACTATATATTTGTCTTTAAATATAAGCCAAGAAAGTGAACCAATAATCGAGCTTTTTCATTTTTGTCCGAAACACGGCCACTCCATCTCCATCTTCAATACTTTTAAACAGCAAAATAAATGAAATTCCACACCAATTTTCCATGCCTGAAAATTCCCGAGTCTTTTAGGAGCTTCGACCAAACACTTTGAGGCTTTCTTCAATTCCAACATGGCAAGCCGGGCACTTTGCTCCGACTATATTCAAGTTCCTTTCGTGACAAGGAAAGCAAACAACATGATGCTTGCAAGGCAAATAAACCATACACACTTCGTTCTCCAAGCACATCATGCATATCCAGTGCGCAACCCTTCTCTTGGAGGATTCAACAACAGCACTCGGTTCTGAAGATGTTGCTTCGGCTTTATCGCACGAGGAATCTCCACTCTGCGGTGGCACATCTGGCGTTTGCCGAGCGATGAGGAGACGGGACAACTCGTCTTCAAGTCTTCGACAGTCGTCCCTTAGTACCTGAGTATCGATCTCCACTTTTTGGCGCAGTTTTATCAATTCAGCTCTTGAATTGGCTTTCCGAATCTCATATGTTATTATTTCTTCAGCAAGAACGGCATACATATGCTCTTTTTCCTTAACCATCTGTTTCAACTCCGCCTGCAGATAGAAATCAAAAGGAAATTGAAATTCAGATTCTCCGATAAGTACTATGAATCCATAGAGCAATGTCATATCTACATATATAGTTCCATGAGTGTACTATGTTATCAAATATCAACTATGTTTTGAAACAAGGGTAAATTACAACCGCCCCCCTGAGGTAATGTCTATTTACGAAAAAAAACCCTCAGTTTTCCATAATTACATCCATCATCCCTGCAAATTTGTAGATTACTTACATTAACACTCTTCTGTGGGGGATGTAAGAAATTTACAAACTGCAAGGGACTGGATATAATTTCTCAAAAAAGGGTTTTTTTTGTAATTACACGTTAGCTCAGGGAGGTGGTTGTAATTTTCCCAAATGTTGTCACTCCGTGTCAGTCATGTTGGATTCTAAATGTATAGAATTGACAAGGCAAAAACAACATTTATGTTGAGGATCTAAATGTTTTTTTTACATCTTTCAGGGACTTGTGTGTAAATTTTCCGAGATTATGGAAAGAATGGAAACGCAAATGAGAAGGCGAAAAGTTATTCGTAGATGTAAAATTAATTACTCAGACAATTCAGCAACTACATAGATCATTGTTAGATATAATTCAATGCAATGACGCACCTCAGCTTCATCGCATTCTTTCTCAACTTGAAGCCACTCTGACAGCAAGTTAATCCGCTTCTCAATCTCGGAAATTAAATCAGCCATGGGTACCATCTGTAAATGGATACAGCTGAAAATTAGAATCATGATTATTGCATGATACAACAATACCTGGTTGTTCGTGTAATTATAGAGAGAGAGAACAGATATACCACAATAGGCTAAATCCAAATATCTCTTCAACTCCGTTTCATTTTCCTTTTCGAAACACTACTTTCTAAGGAATTACTCACAAAATCACTTTCCAAATGGACAAACCTCTCATAACTGAAGAACCTGACTCACAGAGGTTTCCTATAAAAATTTCAGTTTGCATCATAACAAGGTGTAGAAATCGAAACGGAATTTCCGAATTCCTCCAATTCTGATCCAAAAGTTCCAGCTTTGAAATTTCCAATTCTGATTTTTATTTTAATTATTTTTTGAATTGTTTCGGATAAGAAATCAAGAATCGGTCAATCAGAGTTAATAAAACAAATTCTGGAGATTCCGATTTTGGAACCGAATTCAAATTATTTTTTTCCACAAAATACTTTAATATTTTTTTCTATTATTATTGTTTTAAAATTTAGACCATAAAGAATTTAGACTATAATTTTACGAAACAAAATCAAATATTTCCAAAACAAATTCCAAAAAATCTAAAAATAACTTTCCGAATTTTTTGAAGCTTTTGGAATTAAAATAAATTTTTAGATCCAAAACACAATCGAAAGTTATTTTTAACCTCCAAAAAAACAAATCTCCGCAGATCCGTAAGTATTGACACAAAGAAATGCTCTTACAGATCGTTCTCTTTTACTGAAAAAATGCAAAAACTATATGAAATAATCATCCCATTACCACATCATAAACCATTCCAAGATAAACAAAGATAAAAACTTTTTAATATATTCACGCTGAAAAAAAATGCTTTATTTATGTCAAACAGATCTGAAATCGGAAGGAACGATTAAATCATACTTGAATTTTAGCTGTGCTGGTAAAAAAAAACGACAGGATTTATCAAAAATAGATCTATAGGCTAATTAATTACCAGAGATTTTCAGGACGAGTCTGCGATGGAAACGTTCCGGCTGCTCCTCAGGAAAGAGTAAATAAGAAGTGATTGCTTATAGATTATAAGCTGACCCTCTTGACCTAATTTAGTACACATTCACCGAATAAATACCAAAGAAAAAAAAAAGCAGCAGCGGAGCAATCTAGAAATCTATGATGATATAGGCAAAATCTCGTTTCATTTATTGGGATAATAAAATTGCGTCAATGCAAGATAAGAATGCCGAGGACGTTAGAAATAAGATGAGGTCAACTTTATTACATATTGTGATACGACGACACGTTTAGGGCGTAAAAATTCAAATATGAGCACACACCTGGCATACATGAATGATATGAACTCCGAATAGGGCGTCGAGATTCATGTTTCTTGCCTGCAGTATAAATGAAATTCAAATTGACGAGTGACCAAATTGAATTTGTAATCTACATTACAAGGACCAAGAAAATAAAAAGAAAACAAAATTTTGAAATATCTCATTATTTCAATACCCGTTCGAAAGAGAGATAATAGACAAAAGAAAGCATATATAAAGGAAATCATCGAATATCGACGCCGCTGAATATACCATTCCTCTTTTACGAATAGGCATCTTTCCGGAATAACTGAGGTAAGAAGTTCCACTATAAAATCCATGCCCGATTTTACAACTTTTATTGAATAGAATCCATCGTCTTTGAACCAATTAAACTGTAGCATTGTCCCAAACCTCCGAAGAATTGATATTAGAAATTCCTATGCATCCATAAAATACTTTCGAAAAAACTAAGTTCCAAGGCACGAATTAGTGTGACTAAATTAGGGGAAAACAATACCAACACAAGCAAACAAAATGGTATTGAGTTTTACTCTTTGCAGACTCTCGTTACAATCAGGAAACCCTAATCTAATTCTGAGAATTAATTAGCTAAAATGACGTCATCAAGCAATTCCAAATACAACCAAAAAAAATCAAATCTTTTAGACTCGAATTCCATGAACTAAAAGAAAATGAAAAAAAAAATTAGTGAATACTGATGAAAATATGAGCAAAATTGAAACTTACCGAGCTTCGAATAAGAGGAAAAAAGGATGGAGAGAAATTAACAGCGGATGAAAATGCAGGGTTTCGACTGAAAATGACATCGGCGATGAATCGATATCGATAAAACTCGTCATCGTGAAGGAAAACTCTGACTAAAAACTTGGGCAAATTTTTACCTAAACTCAATAATTTGTTGAATGGTGCCCCAAAATTTCAATTTCCATTCAATTTTAGCCCGAATTCTCTGCACGTGAATGGCATGTGAGATTCTTGAGGGTAAAAACGTCTATACTTTTCACATCTATCTCTTTAATTTTTTTTAAGAAAATATAAAATGATTTCACTCTCACAATATATATATATAAAATTTCATATGTAGTGAAAATTTAAATAAATTAGAAACTAACAGATGATTATGTTATATGCGCAGGCCCCGAGTTCGATTGGGCGGCCTGCCCCGCCCAATCCCGGGAAGCCGACTATTGTTAGTTGAAAATTTTAGGTGAAGGGACATTTTAATTATTTGTTATGTTTTTTATATAAATTTTTTTTTGAATATTTATACTTTATTTCTCCATAATTTCTATTTTATTATTTAAGCGATTTTGATATATCTTTACTAACAGATGAATGTGTTTTCGCTTTTAAGGCGTCGGGTGAATTCGAACACACAACAACGCTCTTAATTAACGTACATCTTTTGTCGTTTTGCCAATGCAGCATGTTCGTGAAATATTTCCTCTAAAAATACATATATTTATCGTAGATATTTTTACATAATTATTTAACTTTAGAATGACATGGTGTTGCATCGACTTTGTTCACGTGCTTGGTACACAACTAAAATTTTCTTCATTGTAATTTCAATATTATGTTACTTAAAATTTGATGAATCATGACATCTTCAAACACATATTTTTCCCTCGTCCCCATAAATTGTTACCGCCGGAGAAATTAGTCGAGGAACGAACTTCACGAGCTTATGCCAAGCAGCAATTTGAAGCACAAGTACCTAAAAACATTGAATTGGTTATTCTTGAACTTAATTTATATATGCATTATTAGTATATTTGTGTATGATGCATAATCTGATTGAAATTATTTGAGTGAATTGTGTTTACTACTTGTAAATCGTATCCGCGCAATTCTTCACTGTCATAAAAAAATTAGCAAAAACCCCCATGTACTAATTAGTCAAAGGCGAAAAACCCCCTTGAAGCATATTGTGCGTCGCACTTACTCATTGTGCGATTTTTTCTTCATTTTTGCATGAGAAATGACATAATTACCCCCAAAAACCTACACGTTCTCTCCCCTCTCCTCTCTTCGTCTTCTTCGACTTCTTGTTCTTTTTTCTTTGGAATAAATCTTCTCATCATGTTCATTAATGGAAGATTTCCAAACATAAATGGGCAAATCTTCGCAGGTTTCAATTTTCTCCACCTTCCAAAGGGAATTAGTGTTTCTGCAATTTTATAGCAATGGCGGTGGATATGCTTCCTGTTGAGAAAGAATGGCGAAAAAGATGGTGTATGCTGTTGACGATGGGCTGTTGAGAAAGAATGGCGGCGGAGATGGTGGGTGGTGCCTTGGTGGACTTCTGAGTGCCGAGCAAAGATGGCGGCAGGGCCGGCCCTACCCTTTTAATGCCCTGGGCGAAAAAGATAAATTGTGCCATCGGTTTTATTTTTCTATAAATCTTTTTTAAAATAATAATAAATTATGAAAATAAAAAATTAAAATATCAATAAATGCTGTTTAAAAATTTTCAACGGTGGAAAAACCCACATATAAAAAAGAAATTGTCATAACATTACAATTTTAACACAACAAAATGAAATAAAAAATGTTTGAACTCCTATCCCAGCAAGAATTTTTTTTTTCTCTTATTCTTCCACCATCAGCTTTCAAAGAAATTATCACCTCATGTTATAGCTAAACACCTGCATATCAAAAAAAAAAAGTGAAATAATTCATTGAAAATGTTTTCGAGTTGCACTTTTAGAGGCAAAGTCATCAATGATATCGTCGTACTCAATATTTTCCAACATATCTTTTTCAATAGTTAAAATTGTTAACCCCTTCAACCTTTCTTGAGACATTGTAGTCCGTAATTAAATAATTTTTTAATTACTTTAATTTTGAAAAGCTTCTCTCTGCTGATGCCACAGTGACGGGTATTGTCAACAAAATTCTATAAGCAATCATCGCATTTGGAAACATATCAATCGTTTTTACAAACTCTAATATTTGAAAAGATGTCCATGGCTTATTTGCATCACATGCTTCATTCGGTATCATCACTTGCAATACCTCTAGTTCAGTCTGTTCAGAGCATAAATATTTTGCATTCATATCGGAACTATCACCATGTCTTAAAGTATTTTCAAGATTCACACAAGAACTCATCAACTCATTACCATCCAATAAAATCAACTTTGCAACATCAAATAAGAAACCAAATATTGATTCAAAATATTTGAACACTGCATTTGTTCAAACCTGAACAAATATGGCGGCGGAGATGGGTTGGGTGATGAGTGTTGGGCTATTAGGCAAAAAGAGCGGCGAAGATGAGTTGGGCGGCGGGTGTTGGGCTGTTTTGAGCAAATATGGCAGTAGAGAAGATTTGGGCGGTGGTGGTGGAGGGCTGGAGGTAGGGGTGGGAACGAGCCGAGCTCGGCTCTTTTGACCAGCTCGATCTCGAGCTCGAGTCCATGTTGCCGAGCTCGAGCTCATCGAGCCAATTTTGGTGAGCTCGAGCTCGAGCTCGAGCTCAGGCTTATTTTTATTTATTATTTAATTTTTTTATTAAAATCATTTTATTTTTTATTAAAAATCATTCATAGGAAAATAAAAAATTTATAAAATAAATAATGAACTCTAGTTATATATTTTTTATTTTTTCTATTATTATTATTATAATATTATTATGAATTATTTAAGTAATATAGATTTGTTTCTATTTAAATACTAGATATATTTATTACTATAGACTATTTACTATTTAGTTAATAATAATAATAATAATAATAATAATAATAATAAGAATAATATATATATATATATATATATATATATATATATATATATATATATATATATTGTGTGTGTGTGTGCAAAAAGAAAAAAAAAAAAAAAAAAAGGGGAAGGCAGCTCGCGAGCCGCTCGCGAGCTGTCGAACAACTAATTTTGGGCTCGAGCTCGAGTTCGAGCTTTTTTCGAGCCGGCTCGTCGAGTTCGCAAGCCGGCTCGTCGAGTTCGCGAGCCGGCTCAGCTCATTTACCACCCCTAGCTGGAGGCTGGTCCTGTGAAGAAGATGAACTTTTTTTTTCCTTTAATTAAGTTTTGAAAATTTCAATTTAACCTCTCTAAATTTTTAAATTCAATTTGGTCCCCAAGATTTAAAAATTACTTCTTGAACGACTGGGTCTTTTGTTTTTGCAAAAACTTCCTGGGGTATTTTGTCTTTTCACAACTAGTAAATGGGCAAAAGACAAATGGGTCAAGTATGCAATCTAGAAAATTAGCACGGGGTTTTTTGCTAATTTTATTATGATAGGGGGAATCGTGCAGATGCAATTTACACAGAGGTAGTAATTGCAATTCACTACTTATTTGCTTAAACGAGACTAATAAGTTTTTTTAGTTTGTTCCTTAATTTGAATATCATTTGATGGGGAAGACTATTTTTTAATGATTTATTATTGATTAACATAATTAAACAGTTTTTTTTGTTTTTGATTCTGAATTTTTTAACCGTCTTTGACTTTTTACTTTTGAAAATAAAAAAAATGGATAATTAGTGAAAATCCCCTCATTCATCTTATATATAAAATAAAGAAACATTGGGCAAACCTAAAAAACTCTAATGGTATTTCTGTAATTATTTATTTTTAATATTTTTTCTCTACTAATTCCTAACTATAATTTTTAACAATTATTAAAATTAAAACTAACCCGTGAAGAATCCTACCTTATTACTACTTATGTAATTATTTATTTTTAATATTTTTTCTGTACTAATTTTTTAACTATAATTTTCAACAATCATTGATCTCCTAATTTTCATCAATATATCTCAATTAAACAATTTTAAGAGATAAAGCTAAATTCTGTAGCACCCCCCTTCTAGACGGGCGATAAATCGAACCGGTTTATCGGAATATTTATTAAACTAGCGGAAGCAAAGGATCTCTTTGTAATTTTTTGAAACATTGGAATGGGGTGAAAATGCAATTATCAAAACTTTGTTCTTTTGGGTATTGAAGGCTTTGCATTTTCGAAAACTTTGTTGGATTGCTTTAGCCGAATACAAAGCTTGATTTAGAAATAAGTTTCGAAAGGAGGTTTCTCATTCGAGTGCTACATTCTCACTAAACATTTTTCGGTTCGAGAATAAATCAGAGTTCGGAAAGGTTATTTTTGGTGAATAATTCGAAGTTTTCTAACGAAGGCATGAGAATAGCAAATTACGAAACTTACTATATTAAAGTAGGAATTAAGTACGATTCATAATGAAAATGAGTTCAAAGGTACGAAAAGAGAAATGTTACGGTTTAGGGTTACACCACCAAAAGAAAATAACCAAAAGTCTAGCATCGTTCATAGGTCCTCGTACGTCTTCCAAAATCCCGGGCAAGACCTCGATCCACTACTCGATCCATCCCGGTTGAGGATTACTACTACCTGCAATTAAAAGACATCTATATGAGCTATAAAGCTCAGTAAGAAATCCGAGTATTATCAAACTTTGGAAATACGTTATATATAATATATAGTATTGTATACCCGTTCTTACCCACAATCCGCACACAACACGAGGCAATCGATCAAATCACATATCTCACGAAAATACATCATTTAACAAAATCACGTAATTATGCAAAATGACTAAAATGCCCTTTTTGTGAAAATCATGAAAAACACATTTTTCGGTTTATCGGATCCGTGAAAGATTAATTTCTGTACCGAATAATAAACCTGTTACGAGCCCGTTTTCACTAAGTGGAATCAAACCACTACACACATCATCCTAGTTGGATACCGGCCCACTATATCCGAGTTGTTTATTACCCGATATTCCATTAATCTTTCAAATAAAATCATTTTAATGCAACTTTTCGAAATTATGCTTATGACCCAC